ATATAATTGGAGGCCTGGTGGGCAGGGGCTGTGATGCCTGGGCAGCTGATCCCTGGGCAAGGGAGGGCCACACTGCCTGATCAGGGACTCCCCAGCACAGGAACCATACCTGTGTACGGTGACCGGCACCATCCAGAGCCCCAAGCCCCAGAAGGCCACTCTCTTACTGGTGCGCCCGCCCCCGTGTGGTCATTCTGCAGCGTAACTATCCCTGCTAGTAGACCCCGCCCTGTGTGTTTTGTGAGAAACCATCATATTCCAGGCACATCCCAATGTGCTGGCAATCCAAAGCCTTCCCGTGTTTTAAGTTAAGGCCTTGGGGCACAACATGGGTAGGGGCATGGCCTGTGTCAGGTGAGCTTAGCCTGCCCTGGCCTGTGATACCCCTGGCCCATGCAAGTAGGTTTTTCCAATCAACACAGCTACCACCTCTCAGGGAGGGGGTACCTATGCTGACAGCAGAGCTTCTCCTGTTGGCATGGGAAGCGTCTTCACTAACACAGCAGCAGTGCCCCTCTCTGTGGACGTGTAGCCAAGCCCAAAGAGCACACAGCCAACACGGAAGTGATGTATCACAGTGCTGCTGCTTTTGCTTATCAAAGAGAACTCTGGCTACCCTCAGCCAGGACCTACCACCCTACTCAGCCTAGTGCAGGAGTCGGCAACCTTTCCGAAGTGCTGTGCCAAGATTTAACCCTCCTGCCCTGGGCTGTGCCGCTCTCTTGGGAGGGGCTCTCTCTACTGTGCACCCCATGGGCCACCTGGGTCAATGCAAACCTTTCCCTGCACTACCAGTTGCCTCATATTTTCTGAACCAGCTGCAGCTAGGGAGAACAGTTTAAATTAAATTATTAAACAGATTAAACGTTTTAACTTTCTCTTGTTAGTTTATCAAACTTCATTTTAAATGAAGTAAAATATGATGTCCAACACAAAAGGGTTCAAAGTTTTCTTAATTTATGGCAGGGATGGGGAACCTTTTTTGGGTCAGTGGTCACTGATCTACAGAAAAATCATTTGGGGGTCCATACAAGTGAGAAGCAGAAAACCTCCCCAAACCCCCAACCCTCACTGATGTGGCCCCAACTGAGACACCTCACTCTTCTGGCAGTCCAGTCCCCACAGGGTGAGGCGAGGGGCGACACATCGTATTATTTAAAACGTTGGCTGGCTCCTGGGCCTAAACAGAACAAAACCTACCTGGGCCCCCATTTTCTGCTGTGCCATAAATCCACTCAGTGAAGTAGAGATGGAGGAGAGAGGGACAGGAGCCAGCTACAGTTCCATGATTCTTTAGTGCAGGGTGGACACTACTTTTTGATGGGGGGCGGGCACTCCAAGAATTTGGTAAGTGGTCGAGGGCCACACTCCTCTGTGATACAAATGAAGGAGGTACGGGGTCTGGGATGGAGGCTGGGTGCAGAAGGGAGCTTGGGGTGAGGGACTGGAGTGCAGAAGGAGGTGTGGGATCTGGGAGGGAATTTGGGGGAAGGAAGGGGTTGGGGGAGTAATACAGAAAAGGTGAGAGAGTGAGAATGCAGCCAAATAGCTAATTGGGGTGGGAGGCAAAGAAACGGGTAGTAAAGGAAAGTGCAGCTTCTGCAAAGTAAACTTGTATCCCCCCCCCCCACATCTTCCCTCTGCTCCAGCCTCGTTTCCCTCAACCCCATGTTCCCTGCAGCCTGATCCCTGCATTGCCCCAGGCCCCACAGTGCAATCCCTCCGGATGCCACAGAGGGAAGAGAGACCATGGGGATCCTGAGACCACATGCCAGGGAGCAGCAGGTTGGAAGCATCCTGGGAAATCTTTGCAGGACAGGATTGTAGAACCTGAGACCAGCTTGATGTGTTTTGGCTGGATCCTTGCCAAGCCGGTGATGAGCAACCCCACCAAGGGCAGGGCCCTGGGTTGGGACCCAGTGGAGAGAGAGGGCCCCGTCCCCCTACTCTGGCTACTGCCCACCTGGGGTTGTGGCTCCCCTCACCTCCCTGACTGGCCATTGGACCACACAGCCCTGATTGTGAGGGCAGCGCTATTGCCTCTGGCTGTTAAGCCATACTACTCTGTGACCCAGAGGTGTTACACAGGCCTAGAGTGACCCCTGTCCCAACCCGAAAGGGGATGTGGTGTGCACGATCTGTCACTGACTTCCTGTGGGAACTGGGCAAGTCACTGCTGCCCAGGTCCTCAAAGGTATTTTGGCACCAGGAATAAATTCAAAATGGCTGCTCAGCTCAGCTGCCGCCTAACTCGTCAGGCGCCTCAGGCTTGGGGGCCGGCTGTCAGCAGCTGCCTGAGCGCTGACCCTGCTCTGCATGCCGTGCAGCGCTTCTCACTCACGTCTAAATCCTGGAGACCCCAGAGGATTCTCAGACAAGCCCCCTGCCCCCCCAGCACCGCTTACCCTGCCATGGGCCGAGCTTGCCTACCCTGCACAAAGCAGAGGGGTATGACCCTTCCCTCTAGGGGTTTGGGCACTGAAAGGAGATGTGGCCAACCAGGCGCCAGTTAGGGCTGCCAGATAGTTTCAACAAAAATAGCGGACACACTTGACAGTACATCACAGTCTACATTACAGCTTATTGAGAAAACATCGGACAGGTCGATTTTCTCAATTCTATTTTCTCAATTTGTTTCCCAAACAGAAAGCTCAAATACTGAACTGTCCAGTTCAAAACCGGACACCTGGTAACCTTAGCGCCAGTCCCCACTTCATTTAATTAGTTATGCAAAGAGGAACAGCTCCAGCAGGAGAAACTGAGACATTGGTGGTGTCCTGAGACCGGTGTTAGAACTGTCACCTGTCACTCAGTGCCATGTGTGCCTTGCCCCTGTCCCGCCTGCACTCTGGGGGTTTGAAAGGAAGCACTCCCTCCCCTTTTCTTCTAGGGTGTTTTGAATTCTGACTTTTGTTTGTGCCCTGACTGCAGCAAAACCACCCAGACTACCGTCACCATGACGATCAGGGCACCCACCTGAGGAGGGGGGAATGTGGAATCTATCTGAGTGGAGATGGGTCCCCACCACCTTTGAGGACTTGGGGTTAAGCCGGGTCCCTTTTCCTTCAGCATTTCATGCCTGGCTTGATTCGGACAATTTTATACAAGTGAAACTTTTGATTTCTCACACTACTTGTCTCGTTCTCCCCAGATTTCTCCGTAGACAGACCAGCACAGGTGGATGCTTTGAGAGGTGTGTGTGTGTTTTGGCCAAGTTAGCAGGGGAGGAAAATTTGCCCTAAACCAGAAAGTTGACCCCATTCCTTGCTCTAGAGAAGTGACCAGTTGATGGTCATTGGTGGCTTCTAAAATGTGAGTCCTGATGCAGTGAGGAGCCTGTCCCCTCTCCATAAACACTGAGAAGAGGAATATAGTTCAGGGGGGGTAGCTGGATCTTCCATCCAATACATTGCAAGGTGTGAAGGAGTCAGTTCTGTCTGATACAGGGGTGTGGAACCTCAGGACCAGGGGCCAGATGCAGCCCCCCCAGCTTACCTGGATCCAGCCCCTGAGGCTCAGGGCTCTCCTCCCCCTCCGCGCTATTTGGGAGCCTGCACGGGTGCTTCAGTCGTCTCCCCCCCCCGCCGTCTCCCCTGCCATCCACAAAATCTACTAGCCTGGGCCCACCTAGGCTCTGGTGTGCAAGAGGAACGTGGGAAGCGTCTGTCTCCTTCTCAGCTGGGGACCACGACCGTAAAGGCTGGTTTTTGTTTTGTTTCTTGCTTGCTTAGTCCCCAGCTAATTTTTCTGAGGCTCAGCAGCCCCCGACCCAAAAACGGTTCCCCACCCCGGTCTAATCGTTAGAGGAGGGGGCTGGGACTCAGGACACTGAGGAACTATTCCAGGCTGGGAGTGGAATGGGAGCTGGGTTAGAGCAGGGATGCTGGGGTTCTACCCTGGGTTGGGGGGGGGGTTGTTTCGCCAGCCTGTTTCCAGCCATGTAGAAGACTGCAGGATTACAAGAGCGGGGTCTGGAGCTGGGTAAGTCTCTGTCTCTCAGTTTCCCTTGTGCCCAAGAGCAGAGTGGGTAAGGTGGGTGAGGTTTAAGGCAATGGAGTTTACAAAGAGCTGGCAGCACATGGAAGGGGCCAGAGAGGAGCAGGAAGACGCGCTGCCTACGTCGTGTTCCTCCCGAACAGCTAACAAGTCCATTTCTTTTCACAGATCCAGCCTTCCTCACTGGCTGCACACGGCATGTCGTTCCACTTCCCATCTCTGAACATCATCACGCAGTCCTCTCCACCACCGTAATCGTTGGGTTCCCCTCGATTCCAGTTGCTGGGGATCAAAGAACAGCAGACTCAACCGGGCATTTGCGGGGAGAAATTCCCCTTGAGCCTCCAGAAGAAGATCCTCCCCCACTCTTCGAAAGATGGTTTGGGGCTGATGGGTGCAGGGCAGTGGATAAGAGCCAAGTGTAATAGCATAAGGCCTCTGTGCTACTCCAGTTTTAAACTGGTTTTGCTGTTACCTTCACTAGCATTTACACGGGTGTAAATCTGGGCTAATGCAATGGTGGCTCAGGGCTGAACCATTACGGTGAGCTACCCACAGTCTTTCAAGGGCTTTTCCTGAATGGCTGGGCCCTGACTGGGTTTGGGCACGCTGCATCCTTAGTGCTGTGGTGCACGGTCTCTCTGGCGAGCCCCTGTTCCCAGGCTGACTGCATGGAGTCGGTTCTTGGGGCAGCATCACTTCCTGGGAGATTTCTACAAGAGGGGACTGAGCTGGGTGCTGGTGGTGACCCCTCTGTCCCAGGACTAGCGCCAAGAAACACGACACTACAAATCCTCCGGTTTCTGCTCAAATGGGAACTGGCCCATAAGCCCCCAAAAGCTGCTATTGCCTGGCCCAAGGGGACAATTTAAAGCCAATTGTCACCCACCATTTTATTCTCTCCCCCACTAGCTGTGCTTCCCTCTGGGGAGACCCTGGATGACTTAGGGTATGTCTACACTGCCACCCTAGTTCGAGCTAGGGTGGCTAATGTAGTCATTCAAACTCCTCATTGCAGGAGGAGTAACGGTAGTCCGAATTAGGGGCTTTAGTTTGAACTACCTAGCCCGTGCCACGTGTAGCCATGGGCAGGGAGTCCGAAGTACTGAGCATTTATAAATGGCGGCGCCCGGGAACATGCAAATAAAGCCCGGGATATTATAATCCCAGGCTTCATTTGCAAGTTCGAATGACTACATTAGCCACCCTAGTTCGAACTAGTGTGGCAGTGTAGACATGATAGAGAGATGAGCGCGCGGTGTCTGGAGAACAGCCATTGGCCGGCTGTACCTTCCCACATGCACCCGTGCGTGGGATTGGGCTGACCTGTACGAGAGAGGATTGTTGTCAACCCATATGAACGTCCCTTCGTTGTTAATGTCGTGCAGGCCGATCCAGTACTGCTTCCCTTTGGCGTTCTTCGCCAAAAACTCCTGAGACAAGAAAACCAATGGACTGCAGTGACGTCCAAGGCCCCAGCTTCACACAGCCCCTCCCCCATGTTGGCTGGGAGATATTCTCCCGGTGCTGAGGTGTGGCCCATTGGATTATTAGAATTTGAGTAGCAGCTACAGGCTGAGAGTGAGGCCACATTACATCCACTGCTGCATAGACACCTAGGCTACGTCTACACTGGCCCCTCTTCCGGAAGGGGCATGTAAATTTCACTAGTCGTCGTAGGGAAATCCGCGGGGGATTTAAATATCCCCCGCGGCATTTAAATAAAAATGTCCGCCGCTTTTTTCCGGCTTTTAAAAAAGCCGGAAAAGAGCGTCTAGACTGGCCCCGATCCTCCGGAAAAAGCGCCCTTTTCCGGAGGCTCTTATTCTTACTTCAAAGTAGGAATAAGAGCCTCCGGAAAAGAGCGTCTAGACTGGCCCCGATCCTCCGGAAAAAGTGCCCTTTTCCGGAGGGTCTTATTCCTACTTCAAAGTGCCCTTTTCCGGAGGGTCTTATTCCTACTTATTCAAAGCCGGAAAAAAGCGGCGGACATTTTTATTTAAATGCCGCGGGGGATATTTAAATCCCCCGCGGATTTCCCTACGACGACTAGTGAAATTTACATGCCCCTTCCGGAAGAGGGGCCAGTGTAGACGTAGCCCTAGTGAAAGACATTCCCTGCCCCCCAAGAGTTTACAGATACAACCAATATTGGGAGGGGAAACTGAGGCACAGTGATTTGCCCAAGGTCACATAGAAGGTCAGTGATAGAGCAGGGCCCAGCTGTCCTGGCTCCCAGGCTAGTTCCTGCACCACTAGAGCAGGCGGCTCCCCTTGCAGAGGCCCTGCTGAGGGGCTGTTGCTTTGGATGGATGTGGAGGCTAGCTGGGAACTCTCAGGGAGCTCCTAAGGGCCCCTGATCTGGACCCCAGTTCTTGGCCAGGTGCTGAGTCTCCACAGCCTGGTTTTCTGCTCCATCCCGAGCCAACAGATGGCGCCAAATACATGTAGCACGGTCCCTGGGTAGCCTGGGACGGACACAATGCCTTGTCACTGCAAATGCCTTCATAAGAACAGCCGCACGGTGTCAGCCAAAGGAAGGCCTGTCTAGCCAGTATCTCCTCCAGCCACAGTGGACAGAGCCAGGCAGCGCCCTGTACAGAGCAGGGCAATTAGCGGGTGATCCACCCCTGGAGGTCCATTACCAGCTTCTGGCAGTCTGAGTTTTGGGACACCCTAAAGCGTTGGGTTTGCATCCCTGGCCACCTTGGCTAGCAGTCCTGGATGTAGCTGTTTTCTGGGACTGTATCGAGTTCTCCTTTGAACCCAGTTAACCTTCTGGCATTCCCAGCATCCCGTGGCAGGGAGTTCCCCAGGCTGACTGTGCCGTGGGATGAAATACCTCCCTCAGTTTCATTAAACCTGCTGTCTCCGAATGCCGCGGGTTGAGCCCTAGCTCTTGTGTTATGTGAAGAGGGAGCTAAGGGCACATGTGCACATCAGGGGCTTAATTCCAACTAAGCGACGCAAATGGAGCGACGTCAGTTGTGTCGTTTATTCCGAAATAACTTATTTCGAGTTTTGGTGCTGTCTACACAGCACTTATTTCGAAGTAGAGCGCTCGCCCCCCGACTTCTCTTGCGCCTCGCACAATGAGGTTACAGGAGTCAGAATAAGAAGTCCTCCAGCTTGACAGTATTTTGACATGAGGGTGCAATAAGTGCCGGCTGTGTAAGCGCGGACTATGTTATTTCAAAATAATGTTGCTGTGTAGACAGAGCCTAACACTCCCTACTCACTTTCCCCACCCCAATGGTGATTTTATAGCCTCTCTCCTATCCCCCTTCGCTGTCTCTTTTCCACAGACCCGGGCTTTTTCATCACCTGTGCCTGGAAACTCTTTCAGCCCCCTGACCTTTTTTGTGCCCTTCTTGTGCACACACCCTTACCTCCATGTGTAATGTGTTCCCTAGGCACAACGCAGAGAGACACCAGCTCCTAGCCTGTCCCCAGGCATCGCACTCACCCCAAGAGCCACCCGCCCACCTGGACACCTTCCCCACCCCCTTTCCAGGCTGGCTGGACTCAGCACTTGACTTACCTGCTCCTGTTCGTTATCAATGATAATCAGCTGGCCCCCTTGGTCAGTGCAGGCCTGCTTAGCATAGGACCAGTGTTTACGCTCCGTGGAGAAGTAGTAACAGGTCCCTGCATACAGCAGCCAGTTGGCCGGGCAAATGCTGCAGTTGGAGTCTGCAGGACAGAGCAGGCAGATGTCAGTCTCCACACTGGACTGCATAGCGTATGCCCACAGCCCCTTCCCCCAGGACCGCAAAGCACTCAGCAAAGGTGGGGGGAAACTGAGGCACCGAGCGGTGCAGTAACTTGCTCAAAATCATTCCCAAGCCGGGAAGAGAACCCAGGAGTCCTGATTTCCAGCCTCACCTGCTCTAACTGCCAGAGCAACAGATATCAGCCTTTTTTCATGGATGGACCCCTAGCCCATTTCTAATGGTGGTGTGGACCCCTTTGGAGATCCTACACATTGTCTGCAGCGCGGGTGCAGACCGCAGCCTGAAAGCCACGGGGCTAGATACCACTGGCCTCCGAGGAGCTGGGCGTAGAAGCCAGGAGTCCTAGCCCTCTGCTCTAACCATTAGACCTCATAGCCCTCCTAAAGGTGGGACTAGAGTCCAGGTGTCCCGTTGTGACATAGTGCGGAGGGAGGGGGGAGCTGTACACTCTGGGGTGTGCTGTCTGCTCTTGTGGCCCTGCGTCCACTCTGGTTGCTGTGTGTGCTGTGGGTGACCCCTACTGGCCTCTGTCTGTACGCACTGCCCAGTGGGGGTCACCCCTGAGCATAAGCACATAGGCAATGGCCAGCAGCTTCTCGCCTGGCCATGAGAAGGGTGTAAACAAAGGAAGGGGGAAGAGTGCTCTGCGGTTTCGAGAAGAGGCAGGTTGACTGGGCAAACATGAAGAGAAGGGACTAAACCGAGTACTGGGGGTTCAGGGGCCTGTGTACCCCTACCCCAAGGGGTCTAAGGCTGCCTGCCCCCTTACTCCGATGTCCACATCGAACCCGGGCCATGCTCTATCGGAGAAGCAATAAACCCTCCCTATTCTACTGGCTGGCGGAGTCACATCTTGCTGCGGACGGGGGTGCAGGGGCGGGGGTCCCCGCTGCGCTGTCACACCTGTGTTCTAGTCCCCTGCTCTCACCATTAGACAAAACTGACTCCTTCACAACCAAGCAGTTTATTCAGGGGAGATCTCAGCTAAGCCCCCTGAGCGATATTAATCCACTAGAAGATTTACCTGGCGTTGTTCAGGTAAACAATTAACTCAGTTCACTTATTTTTCTTCATTGAAGTCATGGCTCTGGGGTAGGCTGGGGAGGAGGGGGTCAGTATTCAGGCTGCCCTGGGGAGATAGGATTACCCCAGCCCTGTCTCACTGCAGCAGCCTGGGACCAGGTGAGACCCGCCTCTGCATGGCTGCTGCAGCTCCAGTGGGCACACCTGGGGGGTGGGGTGCACATCTCCTGGCTGGGGCAGGGCCAAGTTCATCTGCCCCCTGCATCCCCCAGCCAGACTGTGCAGCAAATGCAGCAGCAAACTGTGCACTTTCCCCTCGTTCTCTGATGAAGGGGACCAGCCAGCAACATTCCCGTACCAATCGGGGTCGGGGGGGCTTCAGCCCTCCCCTGGCTTCCCTAAAGGGTGCTTTGGGCATGGGAGGCTTGGGGCTGGAGCAGTCCTGGAGGGTGCACCCCCAGCCAGCCCCTTCCACCTGCCTAGTGATTGTCTCTTTTCTTTATGGTTCTATTAGATGCAGTCCCATTCTAGGCACAGCCCATTGTCCTGGCACAACCAAATCCTTACCTGCTTTAAGTTAGGATAAGAGGAAGCTACCAAACATGGTGGTCGTAGCTCTTACCTTTTGGGAGGAGTTCTTGAACCAAGGGACTTGCAGAGAGACACACAGACAGACGGACTCACAGACAGACACACAGAGTACGTATCTCTAACATACAGAGAGAGATGTGTATTATGCAGCACCTTAGCTGCCCCAGGCACAGAGGCAGAACAGAAAGACAGTCCCTGCTATGAAGGGCTGAGAGTCTTAGCCCTCCCAGCAGCTCTCTTACTTTTCCCTTTCTGGATAGTATCCAGAATCTGGTAGGCTTGGGCCCTGATGTCATCTCTGTCGCTTTTCCCTTTGGCCAGATCCTCCATCACTGCAAACAGAGCTCACCGTCAGAGGTAGGACCAGGGCTGTGTCCCTGTGCAGTCTGTGACGCTCCCCGCAGCCTGCGCTTTACAAGCCAGCCAGAGCGCACACAGCTAGGCCGGGTGTGTCTGCGCACGGATTGTAACCACCGGGGCCTGGTTCTGGCACTGAAATGGGCCCCTTTCCCAGACCAGGAGGCACAAGGCTTGTTACGCAGTTCATGGGAGATGGTCATTAGGGACTGGAAACCTGGCTGGAATCACTAGCTGAACCTGAACCAAAATCAGTCAGCTAAAGCCAGGTCCCCTCCCCAAACCCCCCAAGAACCCTGCCCCCCTCCCCCATCCGTGCTCATTCTTTCTGACCAGCGCTGTTTGCAGAGGCTTGCAGGTTCTGCAAAGCGTTTCCAACTTTGGTACATCATGAGCTGTCAAACCGTAAAGCCACGTCATTCGGATTACAGTCAGGCATTCTCCCCCTTCTCCCTGCTTTTAGAATCTATCCCCCTCTCTGCAGCCCCTAATGAGTCCCCATCCCCCCCAACCTCCCCCGCTTCAAAAACTCCCACTCTCTCTCCTATTTGTCCCACGTGAATAGCGGGAGAAAGAGACACCCAGATCCTCCATCTCGTGTAACAGCCCAGCCCAGCCCAGCCCAGCCCATGCCAGTCCCTAAAGGCCCAAGGAGCCTGCCACCCTGCGGTGACCAGAATCCCTGGAACAGAAGGAAGAAAGCCCCCCCAACCTCCCCCGCTTCAAAAACTCCCACTCTCTCTCCTATTTGTCCCACGTGAATAGCGGGAGAAAGAGACACCCAGATCCTCCATCTCGTGTAACAGCCCAGCCCAGCCCAGCCCAGCCCATGCCAGTCCCTAAAGGCCCAAGGAGCCTGCCACCCTGCGGTGACCAGAATCCCTGGAACAGAAGGAAGAAAGGGCTTCCCCAGTTAGAATCACACAATGACCCTGACGTGGGACCCCGGAGTGTAGAGGCTCCGTCCCGGGTTTCTGGCCTCGGCGGCCGGACCTTGGCAGCCGC